GGGGGGGGGGGGGGGGGGCAAGAACTGGAGGTTCCGGGAAAAGGGAAGATGACATGGGCAGAAAAGCCAGGGCCTCTGGAAGCCCATGAGTTCTTAGGAGCATCCCAGTATCCACCCTGTTTGGGTAAAACTGGTCCCTGAGGGCCACTCTCTGCAGCCCTACTAATCCCTGCATTGGAGTTTGAAGTGTAGACAAACCAGAGGTAGGAAAGTTACCAAGGGGAGATACACAGCCCTACCCATGGGAAGTTCACATTCTGACAAGACAACCAACCACCACCATCACCCCTGCCTCCAATCCTTGAGGGAGCCACTGATCTAAGGAACCCACCAACATATAAGCCACAAAACTGAGAAATAACAACTGGTGCAAATCCTGTCCGTGGTGTTTGAAGAGACGAGAGATGAGGTGACACGGAGACCTGAGAAGATCCAAGTTGGGACTCTCCACACCTTAACACTCAGCCTGTTAGTTCATCTCATCACCTGCTCACACACCTGGGCAGGGATCTCAGTGCCTTCCACATAACTACAGCTGCAATGACGTGCGAGGGGGTAGGGACAGAATCAACCTTGCTGGGAGCCTAGGATGAAGAGTCCTCCCTGGGGAGCCCAGGGGCTGGGAGGAGCCTGGAGGTTGAGGTTTGCTCTCTACTGATCTTCCTCCTCTCTCAACAGTCTCTAACCTTGTCCTCATAGGGTGCACCACACATGGCTTCATAACCTCTGCGTGTTTCATGCAGTTTCCTCTCCCAACTAAGCAGAGGCTCCTGGAGGATAAAAGAGCAGGTTTTCTCCACACCCTGCAGTGCAGGAATGTAACAAATGCATGTCACAGGTGGGGTATCTGGAGTGTTGATTACAAAAACATTTTCCACAAATAGCATACACATGTCAAAACCATTCTATTTGCTATTCTTTGCCCTATCACTTGCATTTGACACCCTTTGTTGGCTCATGCCTCTAGATGTCTGTTCCTGTATCCACCTCAGCCTGGGGACTGGGCCCACCTAGACTTTGCTAAGAAAATAACAGCTCAGCTTATGGTGGGAACAATGAAAGGGTATGTGGCCCAAGTCTCTGGGGGGCAGAGGGAGGGTCTCATTTTGGGTTGGCCCACTAAGGATCCTTCCCCTGTGTCCTAACAGATTCAGATTAATGATCGCTCATTCCTAATTGTCAAATTTCTTTTCCTTCATCCTGTGTCTAATCACCAGTGACAGAAACCATTACGCAAATGAGAGCAGACAACTTCCCCCAACTGTTCGCATTGGTAAAAACCTTGTAATTTAGAGCTCTGATTCGTAGGGGAAGTTGGTCTCCCCCAGGCAACTTGGGCATCTGCTCAACTGATGCCCAAAAGCCCCTCCTCCACCCCCCAAACTTCAACCCCCCAACAAATATTTGACTTCACAAGAGTAGTTTCCTCTGTACCTGCTGGTGTAAAAATAGGATCTTGCAACATGGCTGACCCTCATACAGGCCCAAACCCCCATCTTCCCCTCACATGTCTGCCTCACACTGCCAGCTAGGATAGGAATAAGCAACAGAGCAGAAACGTTCTACTCTGCTACGAGTAGAATTTGAGCCTGAACAGCCCTAACCTAGGTATGTGAAGGAAGAGCCTCAATCTCTTCATTGGGGGAAACGGAGGCCCCAGAACATGAATCAAATTCTTAGTGAATATCTAGATCTTCAATTCTACAGATGCAGAAACAAGCTGGGAAAAGTTACGGGACCTATTCAAGGACACACAAGTAACCAAGGGGATCTAGAACTCAGTTTCCCTGTAACTTCTTCCAGAACTCTTAACTCATAATATGGCTTCCTGGCAGTTTTCCCAAGAAGTCTTTAGCTGGAGCCCAGAAGAGCTTTCACCCTGAGCTGTATCTTCTGTATCCTTTTGGGCTAAGCCTGTCTGTACTACACACTGCCTGCTGCCTGTAGTCCAAAGGAGGAGAATCAATGTAGTTTGGTGGAAAAGAACAGCAGGGGATTTGCAGCCAAACAGTACTAGGTTTGAATCCTGATTACCACTAACTGCTTATTCTTGAACTGTAAAATGAGAATACCTACCTTGCACTAAAAGCACCAGGCACACATTAGGTGTCTAATAATCAGGGATCACTACTGGACATGAACCCAGAGACATTACCCAAGGATCAGGACCCAACCTGTGAAGGTCCCTCCCCCTCGTGCAGACCTGGGTCAGCACAGCACCCAGAGAGGAGCAGCTGAGAGACCACGCCTCCCTGCTGCACATCACCCACACCTTTAAGGAATGAGCCAGGGATGCAGCAGAGCTGCTGAGAAGGAAAATAATGTGCTATATTTCAAAGTGTCTTTGTGGTCAATTTATCTTCTGTCTGCCTTGTTTTCTTTGCTGCGTTCCTCTTTCCCAAAAGAGATGGAGGGATGGAGATCACTGCAGTCACATTTTCCAGCATTGGCTATATTTGAAAGAACTACACTTGAGAAGGTACCATGTTTGAACACCCACACTGCATCAGAGAACCCCAGAATGGGGTACTAAAAATAAACACCCCTCCCCAAAATACACACAAGTGCGCTCATGCACACACACACATATGCATCCTCTCAGTCCATCAGTGCACTGTAACTGTAAACTGAGCTCTGGGGGTGAGAGCCATAGCTCGGACACTGGAAGTAAACCTTTGAAAAAAAAAAAAAAAAAAAAAAAAAAGAGGAAAAAATGAACCCAGAGACTTCCAACTCCTTTTTCCTTCCAGAGAGAAGGGGCGTGGAGATGGGAGTGGAGGTGAGCAGACGCAGGGCCATCACACTGCCCAATCCCAGGGGCCCCACTTCCATTATACAGGTGTGAATGATGGCCCTTCGAGTTGTGCAGTGCACAGCTGCCCAGCTGTAAGCTGCAGCCCTGAGAGGGGTTCCCATGAAAAGCTATGAACAGAAAAGGAAATTCCTCTCCATGCTCCACCAGTTGCCCTGACTTCTGAGGGTGTTTGTGGAACATTACAGTGGGGGTCTGGCAGAGGCGCTGGCTTTAAGAGGCAAGGCTACATTTTTGCCCTTGCCATGAGGTGGATGACATGTGGTGAGTTAGCTGCCTAGGCTTGACCCCATTTTGTCTCCTGAGCCAAGAAGCTCCGCAGACACAGAGGACGGGGCCTGGGCAGGGAGGGTCGGTCATAGGACCTGGAGGCTCTAGCCAGTCGGCCTCAGGCAGGTTGCAGCGAGGCCTGACCAACATCCAATGGCTAAAAATGAGTTTAAAAGCTTTAGACCAGGTCAGGCAGCACTGCCTTGGGGCTCCCGCTGTACGTCCCACTGGACAAGGTTAAGCAGTAGAAACTTGGTAAGCAGAGAGGCAGGCCAGTGTGGACACACATGCACACACACAGGCACAAACATCCACACACACATCCACACAGAGGCTTGCACCCCTAGAACCTAGAGAAGCCATTGCTAGGATGACTCCCCTGGCACCCAGGACAGAGAACAAGAGCTGGTGCTGAAAGAAAGAAGCTGTGTCTGTAATTTGTAAGTTATGCACAATCCTTGGTTCCTGTGTCCCAAGGCTCTTTTCTGTGTATGGCTTGAGCTTAAAGGTTCAAGTTGGAACCCTGTCTAATTTACTCTCCTAGGAAGCTATTTAGGCTCTCAAAGGCAACCCTCCCCACTCTACCTCTCCCCATTAGAGTCTCAGTAGCCATTCCCAACAGCCTAGAGCCTCTCTGTGAAAACTGGGAGGGGGCAGACTGACCTCACGGTTAGGATGGCTGTGGCCCTGTTGCCCAGATGCAATGGGCGTCCAAGAACATCTCCTCTCTCTCAGGCTGAGGCACTGAGATTGCAGGAGACAGAGCTGAGAGCCAGAGGTGGCATCCTGACCCAGAAGGAGGGAGCAAGGAACAAGTACATACACGCGTGTGCAGGCATACACACGCACACACATCCCAAGGTTGACAGACCAACACACGACATGATGACAACCAGAAGCTGGGGACTCCACACACTGAATGCAGGACTTTAGGGGGCAGAGAGGGAAGGTGCTGGGGCACAGAGGCAAGGGTAAGAAGTCCCTCCGAATGGGAGTGGAGTGCCAACCACCCTGCCTTGCCCAAACACCTGCCTCCAGGGCCATGGCAAGAGTCCAGTCCATTAAGTGCAGCGTGCAATACTAGCGTTTGGAGTCTCCTGTCCTCATCAATGAAGCGGTGTGGACGGGCTAGCAGTCACCTGGCAGGAGGCCTCGACTCCTGGCAGGCTAGTTGTATCGGCCCTTGATCATTGTGTTCAACAAGGGCCCCACCTGTGAAAAGACATGAGGAGCCAGTCAGAACTGCCTGTCCCCTAGCCCCGGAGCCAGATGAGGTGTGTCTGGAGACATCGATGTCCAGCCAAGGGCAAGGACAAGGCTTCCATTCAATCTTGTAAACCCTCTAACCAACTCTCTTCCTAGCGGTCAACCCAGTATCCTGGAGCGTGGCCCTCTCCTCTGGGTCCATCTTGTATTACCTTCCCTCTCACAATACCCTACATCTGTAAGCAGAACCAAACTGACAGACAGAAGGTCAGAGGAGCTAATAATCCCAGACACCCCGAGCGTTTACGTGCATGTTTTGTAAATGTGACTTAAGAATCTTAAGTGATTCTATATCCTAAAAAGATCATTTGTAATTGGAGCTGGTGCGATCTCCCAAGCCCACAGGTGCTCTGAATGCTGAGGCTATCCACAGGACAGAGGTAAGAGCATTACAAATACAAACCTCCCCCATTTACCCAACGGGCCACTGGCACACCTGCATGGGAAGCAGGTCTCAACATTACCTAGAGCAGTCTTGGCACGGCTGGGAGCGTGTGAGTAGATGCTTTACCGCTCGCTTCCCATTCCAAAAGAATCCCCTCGGGGGTCCCCAGCTGGCACACAAGCCCCATGCGGAACATTACTACTAGCATGGAACAGATTATAATTGATCCGCCAGTCAAGCCCAGCTCTCATCAGAAAATAAGGATTTTCTGAACATACCCATAACCTCTATGAAGAAACAGGACAACAGATACTGAAAACAGAAGAGCTACAGAGACTGTGACACCAATCCTGACTTTCCCTGGTCACTCTGCCCACGGAGTCACAGGAGTGCCACCTTGGGGCAGCCACATACCTCTTGTGGGTTCCCCAAGGCCTCTCCAAGCATCTTCTCAATGTTTCTCATTATGGCCACTTTCTGATGGGCTTTGAGAGGATATTCAATTCTCTTAGGGGTGGGGGCCCCCTGCAAAGGAAGCAGCAGCTCAGGAAATGTCTTTAGCAGGCTTCAGTGTCACCCATTGTTCCTCGCACCATCCTCCCTTAAGAAACCCAGTTCAACCCCACCCTCTCCAGCTCCCCCAAAGATCTAGGAATCACTTCCAGAGATAGCCAACCTCCCCACCCTGCCCCTAGATAATTTATTACACCTACCTCACCCCACTCCCATCTAGGGAAAAAAACCATATTCACCTTATACCAGAAGTTCACAGTGATGGTAATCCCCCCATTTAGTAATGACTCTATGTGATGCCACCTGCAAGAAAATAAACAGGCTCCTGTTTGCCACCAATACTTCTCAGAGGGAGGGATCCTCTGAAACTAGGTAGAGTCCTGCTAAGGGATATAATGAAGATAGTATCTTCACACTCATCCTATCAAACACACCCTGGGGCTACAGGCAGTGGTGTTCACCCTTCAAATACCAGAGTCAAGAACAGTTTCTCTAGCCTCAAGCCTCTGGGATCTCTTTGGACTTGAGGAAATGTCATCTTGTCTAGAAACAGTATTGCCATTTCCCCCATGTTCAGTATGCTCATCATCTGGATATGCCAACCTTCCTGTATATCACGTTAAGTCCAATCCTGCCACAACTCAAAAGAAGAGACATGGATAAGGCTTTCCAGGGAATGGCAAAGAACGCTCCCTAAAAGCCCCCAGTCCTAGCCCCATCCTCACCAGTACATTGGGATGTAAAGAACATCACCAGGGCCAACCACTGTTTCGTAACCAACCACGTTCTGGAAATTGGGGAACCTCTCGTAGTCAGGATTGTCAAAGTCCACCTGAGAGGTTCAAGAGAAAAAAAAAAAATCAGTCAATCACCAAATTTTTATCAGTAACTTTGGTAGTCAAGAAAGATGCCTTAAAAAAGTCTTTAGAATTTATATCCAGCAGAAGACACAACACACATTAAACATACACAAACTCTCTCAGAACACGACCTAAGAAGATGGGCATTGCTGAATGTTAAACAATAAAGAATACTAGGCCTCAGTGCTCCTGAGATCAGAAGCCAATCATCACAGTTTAAAGGTCAGAAAACCTACTCATGGCCTGCAGATCTGAGGAATTAGGACTCATCCTTCACCCAAACCTTCAGAAACTTTTCCCCAAATACATATTCTAACCAGCAAAGACTTCTACACGAGGTAGCTAAGTGGTTTTCTCAAGAAAGGAGAGGCGCTCTCTGGTTGGCCACAAAGTCAACCACACACCTCACTGAGATCCAGAAAAGACATTAAGTGACATATCTCAATTCTATTCACCCTTCTTTTTATCAAAAAGAAGTAGCATCCGTGACAAAAGTAAACAATTATTAAATCCAATGGAGACATACACATTTTGTTCCATGAACTTATAATTCAAACAGAATAACCAGAGTCCACCAGCATCAGTGATGGGGTCTGCCCTAAATATCTGGGGACCACCACAGGGACCTGGAATATATAAACTACACTGTGAAATTGTCCTCTGAGTTTGTCCAAACCTGGCATACCTCCACAGAGAAGGGGAAAGACATGCCAGCCTTGGATCTCAAAGGAGTTCTACACCCTCCTCAGACCACACGAGCTCACCTGGCTCTGTCTGTCACATGGATGATGAACAGGATATGGGTAGAGGCACTCAAACTGATCCGGAGGGAACAAAATGCATCGCTTGTAGCCTTTTATCTGAGCAAAGAAGTTCTGTTGCTCATCATAGTGAGCAGGTGTCACATTTCCTGTAGGAAGACAGACATTTTCTTATTCAGAGCAGTAACTCTATTGCACAGGATGGAACACAGGCCCCAGTGCTGGAGAGAAACCCAGCCTGCCCTCTCAGCAAAGGGTTCCAAATCAAAATTTCAGGCAAGATCAGGGAGACTGTAATTACAACTCTCAGCCAATTAGGTGCTACACTTTTAATGGGTGATAAGTCTAGTAGCAAACATCACTGGCTAAGAGTTCACCATCAATTAGCAAAGTAGACTTTCTTAAATGATGACTGCTGCCCTTAATGGAAGCAACTGCACATCAAAGTGATACAAGTACGGCAAGATAACATACTCTGCACAGGTACACCCTGCTTTTCAAAAGTTAGCTTTACGTCATTTTGCTTTTACAAAAGACCTATATTTGTACCTGTTTTTGCTAACCGAAAGAAATCCAAAGAGGATTTTCATTTTTATGGGAAAAAAAAAGCAAAAATATCATTGAGTGTGTTTTGCAGCGAACCATCACAGAGGCAGCAAGCACAAGCAGAGAGTGGCACTGCCAATCTCCTCCCCTGGAAACTACACTCAGCATCAAGCCAGCATCTCAGTATCAAGCCACCATAGCTCTGAACTGTGTCTGTGAGCATCTGTGCTTTATCTCGATTTACTTTGTGCATCCATTAGCAAGATGTGTCCTAAAGTAATTGCTTCTTTGTTTTACATCATCTCGGCTTATAGGTTTCACAGGAATGCTCTGCTTTTAGACAGCTGAGGGGAACCTGTACTTGTACTCTTCTTGACTATGGCACAAATTCAAGGGCAGCAAAAAAACGAGAGTTGGAAACAACTGAAATGACTGGTATCAGCAATGCATGCATGATCTTCTTTGATGGAGTTAATCAGTCATTTTAAGTTGTACGAATATGTACTTGCTTTAGGTAGCTCTTTTGGAGCTCAAAGATTCTCAACCTCTGCTCCCACTTCATCACACCTGTGGGATTGCAAAACTTCTTTAGATCAACACTGGAGCTGCTGATTCTCATCGAGGGAAGCATATCAGATTCCTGAAGAGAGTTGTATACTTTGAATAAGGCAAATTATTTAAAATGCCATCCTGAATTAGTTCTGCCCTAGCATATGTATGCTCCATCTACTCTTTGTAAGTGGGGCTGCATCTGATGTTTATCCTTTGCACAATCCTTGAGAGACCAAGGGACCTCTGTAGGGAATGGAGTTTAGAAAACATTCCCCAGGTCTGCCTGGGTGAGCCAAGACAGCTGCTTTCCTAAGTGCAGAGATCCATATGCATCCTCAGAGGAGACTTGCTCTTTCATCTCTACCTGAGGGATGTTTCCCTGCTCTCTACACCACAGGATAGGAAGGCAACAGAAAAATTCAGTCAAGTAAACAAGAACTGGCTCCTGGCAGGTCAACCAAGAGCTGGTTTCAAAGGGTCAGGTTATGGGTCAATTCATAAGTTACACTGCTGGAAACTTTTATTAACACTGGCAGCAAAGGACCCAAATCTGAAGGACAATCAAAGGGGAAGAAGAGACTTCAGAGCCTAGTGGTGAATGACAATGAGTAATTACTCTGCTTCCTTGTTCAACCCAATTTACTCACCATTTACTAAGTACCTACTATGGGCCTGGCACTGAGCAAGTGACAGAAATAAAAATAAGAAAAAAAAAAAAAGAATAAAAAAAAAAATAAAAAAAAAATAATAAGACAATGACCCTGGCTGGTAAGTAGCTCTCTTTCTCCTGACTGGAGTTTAAAGGTTCCTCTTTTTATTAAAAAAAAAAAAAAAAAAAGTATTAATGTATTTGCTTATGTACATGTAAAATCCACTAGCAGGATACACAAGCAACTAATAACATATGGTGCCTCCAGGGAGGGAAGGAAACTGAGAGGCTGAGAAACAGAAATGGAAGACCGATTTATCACTACATACCTATTTACACCTTTTGAATTTAACCCCATTAATGTATTATCTGTTCAAAAGATAAGGTTCAATTTACATTGGAAAAACGTTTCCCTCTTCAACTGGGATAAAAATCTTCTGAATATAGACAGATCCAATAGAAAACAGCAGAATTTTAGAGATCCCTAATATCTAAATATATATACTCACACAGCAGCTGAAGAAGGGAATAGGGAACTTTCTTTTTAGAGTACCTGACATAACATACGTTATCTCATTTAATCTTCATAGTTAATTATAAGATATTACTGTGTTCATTTTACAAATTAGGAGACTGAGACTTAAGAAAGTTACGTGACTTGTTGAAAGTCATGGAGCGAACAAGTGGTGGGGAAAGGTTTAGAAATCACTTCATATGACCCCAAGCCATGCTGCTTTCTGAAAGATTTCTTACCTTCCATGCCAATAAGCAGCAGGTTAGAGGTCAGCTGCCCCCAGCCACGCTTTCCCTGTTGCTTATTAATCCAGTTCCAGTTAAAACCCAAGAAGTCCATGACAATCTTCCTGCCCACAGTGTCATTGAGTGTTTGCTGCAGATACAACCTATGTTCCCCAAGAAGAAAATCCCATTAGTGCATGTACACACTGTCCCTGACATGGCCTCTCATACCTGGAAATCCAAACCCAAGCCCATACCAACATCTCCCACCAAGAACAGCTGCAGTCATGGGACTCTCACAGAACTGAATCCTTACCTATCCTTCTCTGAGCTCTGTTCAACACCAAATTTTATATTTTAGAGAAGTGATTCTTAACTTTTTCTGGGTCACAGTATGAATACTTTAAGAATCCAAGAAAAAAAAGAATCCAAGCAAGGTTCCCCATAAAAATGCACACATTGAACTTTAATATAATTTCATAGATATCCTCGAAGCCTACCCACAGACCCTAGAATGATGACTCAGCCCTGTTCCAGAAACTCTCGGGGCGCGAGACATCCCCTTTGGCCCTTGATGGCCATTTCGGCAGCTCGTATTATTGTTCACCAAGAACTAGTTCCCTCCCTGTGAGAGTTATTCTTCCTCACCTCCTTGAAGCAAGGCTTGCTTATATAACTTGCTTTGGCCAATGAGATGTCCACAGAAGTGACTGGTGCTACTTCCAAACTGTAATTTTTAGAACCAGTACACACTACCACATCACTTTCCCTCTGCCACAGCAATTGCAAAGTTTCCAATGGCAACTGCTGGAGCAATCTGTGTCCCAAAGTGCAAAAGATGATGTAAGTAGAGTATCCAGGTGACCTGAGATGGACATGTAGCATGAGTGAAAAATAAACCTCTGTTGCTTCAAGTCGCTGAGCCCTGGACTGAAGCCTAGTTTATCTTAACTGATTCAGCCACCTATCTGTAGCAGCCATCTATAGCTGAAAAAAAATACCTCAATAAGCTTTCCACAGACCCAGGGCCCCTAACATGCCTGAGGAAGGTAAGAAGTTACTTAATAGACATGAAAAACCAAACACACTTGATCAAGCTCCAAAAGAAACATTATTTAGGGGGCAAACGTGAAGAAAAAGAAGTAATGGTCCTGAGAGCATTACTTCAAAAGCTCAAAGGTATCCCAGTGCCTGGAATCACAATGCTTAAGGCAACGTTAATTAAAAATCTTGATAAGCTGGAAATAGCTACCTGTTTGGGGACATGGAAACCTCAAGACTCCAATGCAACCTTGGAATGTTCCCCAGAGATTATGATGTACATATGTTCATACAAATATTTCTCAAGTAACTCTGAAAGAGTCAGGAACACTCCCCAAACAGGAATCTAAGCAATTCCTGTGAAACCTTAACAGTAAATCCTCAAAAGAGCTCAAAGAGGATCCTAACACCCTTCACCCTAGAATCATAACAAGCTGTACAATTATACAATAGAGTTGGTTGGTGCTAAAGTCAGCTGATAGGGCAAATCTTGCAAATAGTAAAAAATTTTCCTTAAATCACCCATAAACTACAGACTACACTCATAGTTCAGACTTAGGCAAAATGCTCTCACTACAGGAAGCAAGAAACTTAAAGTGACTGAGGAACCAGAGGACTCATGTGTCTTATCTCACGCTCGTTCCACGCATATGTTCAATCAATAGCTTTACACTCCACAAGCATCATTTAAATCAATCTCTTCTCAACACTGGGTGTATGTGTGTGCACACGCGCGCATGCACTGTGGTAAATTTGAAGACATCATGCATGAGGTGATTCAACTGAACCAGTCTCTATAAGACATAAAGAACAAATCAACCATAGTTCAGATTCTGGAAACTCTTCCGGTCAAAGTTCCATGATTATGACAATAGCTAAGAGTCAAGAAGCCAAAAAAAAAATTAAAAAGTATGTTTCAAATCCTTTCACTCTGCCACATACTACTAACAGAGTCAAGAAGAGAACTGAGGCTGGAGAGTGAAGAAAAGCCCAGGGTTGGGCACCAAATGTGAGACAGAGATAGTCATTCACCATCAAGTACTCAATGACAGCAATTCCCCAGAGGCAACGTTATTCTGTGGGACTGGATGTTATCTGGGACCTACCTAAGAGGCTGCCCTCATAAAGAGAGATAAAGGTAGAAAGAGTCACTCGTGTGTGTGTGTGTGTGTGTGTGTGTGTGTGTGTGTGTGTGTCTTGTGTTTGCTATCATCAATTCAACGCAACACATCAATATTCTCCCCACCCTCACCTATACAACTTTTTAGCCTGCACTGCCCCCATTAAAATATTTTAGGACAAAGATTGCAAACCCATAATTTCAGGAAATCTACTAACAGATATTTTAAATTGGCCTCTTGCAGCATTTTAAAAAATATGAATTAGCTGCCCACATTTAAAACTCAAAAAAAATTTAAATAAAAATACTGATTTCTGGTTTCTCTTGAAAAAAATCAGACTATCTGGCAACCCTGGGACTGCACTCCAAAATGGAAACAAGAGTCAAGTAATGACTTCGCACTTTGAATAAGGCATATGCCTTCAGCTTCATCATAGCTTTCACCCAAACAACTTCACTCACTTCATTCACCTACCTGACTCTACTAGGCAAGTGTGATTCTCCCTTTATGAAGACAACAAACTTGAGAATCACAGTTCTAGTCTAGTCATTCCGTCATCCCTCAAGCTAGAAAACTCATCCTCAGATAAAGAAAGGAAAATACATGCCCTAGATCCAACGGAAAACCACGACCTGGAAATTTACCTCTCTTCACCTCCTCGCTCCTGTATATCCTGCAGTTTCTCAACAAACTCATGAAATTTCATTTCTTCTCTATTGGACCTCGGCTTAAAGTTCTGGAAATTAGCCATCTTCTTCTCATCATAGTACAAAAACTTGTGGGTGCTGGCACTGTACACAGAGAAGTCTCCATTGCCAATATTTTCTTGCAGGTATTCAAGGTCCCATTTTAGGGCAGGATACACAAGATTTGTGTCGGTCAGCACCACAGGCTCCTAAGTGGAAAAAACAAATGAAGTCGTCCCAAGGAGCTAGTGGGTTCCTGTCCCAAGATTCCAATACTTCCCAACTTCAAAATTACTTCTCCTGTTAACCAGCACGAACCCCGCAAGTCCCATTTTTCCTCGCTTCCCTATCCAGCTCCCCTTAGGCCCTAGTCCACAACCAGGCCTAGTCCACAACCCCTCCCTTCCATCACCACTCGCCTTTGACCTCTCCTCCCAATCTGGTCCCTTCCCCCATCCCCCACCCCCCACCCCCTCTTCGACGCGGCCCCGCCCCCTACCTCATTCTCGATAAGCTCCTCCGCCCGGGGGTCGCTCTGACTCAGACGCGGGATGGGCCGGGTCGGGAAGGTATAACTGCGTAGTTGGGACTCATCCCAGGTGGGGCCGGGGGCTTCAGCCTCTTCCCGTGGTTCTCCAGAGCCCGAGGACCCAGCCTCAGCCGCAGTCGCCGCCATCTCCGCCGCTAGGGACGGCCCCACCGGAAGCGGAAACTCTGCCTATTCCGGGGAAAACACAACGGAAACCATAGAGCTAGGCTGCGAGAGAGAGCGTTCCAGACACTAAGAACGCGGGGCCGAGCCCTGGGCGAGCGCCTCCTAATGGTAACCTATAGCTCTACACCCTACGCTCCGCCCCCGAAGACCCGGGACTAGACTTTAGTCCCACTGAACAGGGGTGATCATCGGGTTAACTAATTCACAACTTATTGCTGCCTCAGTGTGCCCAGGCCTACACAAGAGGCAAAGAAGGAGGCAAGTTTAGTGGGGCATTAAATTTTACACTGATGGTTGGGGAGAGAGGCAAACTTGACACACCTAAGGAAGTCAGAAGGAAAAGCAACTGTCCGATAGATAGATGTTGGGTAAAGGTTGCTCTGAAAGCCTCGGCAAAAGATATATGGCAACTTGAATTCTTTCGAAATCAAAGACGGTTTTCTTTTGCTTGGCACCATTTGATTTTTCTGCCTGTGTCACCATCTCACCTACTTAAAGGCATTTTTGTCTATCTTGACCGAATTAGATCAGTGTTTGCTATTGATTGAATGCAGATGTCGTCCAAACCATTCCGAACATCCATTCGATTCTCATTTACAAGAGGGCAAGTTGCTGTAAAGTAGTTCTCCCCCAAATTCATATACTGAATAGTATATATCAGTTTTTATTGCTCTGATATATATTTGGTAATGTCTATAATAATGGATTCTACTCCAAAACAGTGATCACCCTAAAACTTCCTGGAAATATGTGTATATTTGTACTGTAAATTATTCAAATCATATTTGTGTAGATAAAATGAACACATATTCATATGCGAACAATAGTGCCCCCCCCAATTCTTTTGTTAGGCTAGTGATCGCTAATTGTGGTTCGGCTTGAAATGTATTTATCCAAGTCCTAGTAAATCTGAGGGAATTCTAGCAAATCTGAGGTGGGTTCAGATGATAGGATTGGTTTTACATTTGTTGGGTTGAGGTGACTGGGACATTCGGATGTAAACACGAGGCTGAAACTGAAGAACCAGTTTGGGGGAATTCCCTGGTGGTCCAGTGCTTGGGACTCAGCGCTTTCACCGCCAAGGGCGCGGATTCAATCCCTGGTCGAGGAACTGGGATCCCGCAAGCCGCGCGGCCAAAATAAAACAACAAAAAAAGAACCAGTTCGGGGCCAATTTGTGTGTTGCACCGTGCATCTAACTGAAGGAGATACCTAATTTAGAAAACAAAACAAGAACAAACAAGACCAAGGGCTGAATTTGAAGGATGATCACGTTTCGGGATGGAAGGAGGAACTGCCAGTGAAGGAGAGGAAAAAGGCAAGCAGTCAGAAAAGAGATTGACAGGCTCCTTTTACTTGTACCGGTCCTGGGGTAGGTGGGTCAGCTGTCCACCTGAGATGCTCAGGTTCTGAGTGCCCGTTATCCCTGGATGCGTCTAAGTCACCTGAGGTAGAAAAGGGACCTAACGATCTGAAATGTCAAAGCAGTGACCTGCTTGTTTTTCTCTCCTTCCCGCTTTCCCTCTCTGCCTCTATCCAACCGCTCATCTTCCCTCTGGTTTCCTAGCACCGTTTAAGCCCCGCCCTTTTTGAACCTTTAAGACTTTTCTCCCTTGTCGCGTTTGGCCCGGCTCGGCCGCCGTGACAAGGTCTTTGCGCATGTGCGGGGTGAAACGAGAAGAAGGTGAAGATGGCGGCAGCCAGGGCGGGGGTCCTGCGAGTCCGATGGCTGCAAAGGGCATCCCGAAACATGGTGCCGATGGGTGCACGGACAGGTCCGCGAGAACGGGCGAGGCCTCAGTGTGGGAGAGGGGTGCCTGAGGTTTGGTATGTCGGACGGAGGGTGGGTATTGTGGATACCGCGGCGGGCGAGTCCGGGCAAAGGCGGAGGTGGAGTTGGTGTATTCAGAAAAACAGGTGGAGGGTCTTTTGGTCCCTCGAAGCCTCGGGCTCCGGTGTCTGCAGCCACCGCAGCTTGAAGCCTTCAGAGTGGAAGGAGGAATGGGGTCGCTTCTGACGTGCCCTCATCTGCTCTCCAGCCTCCCACATTACCAAGGACATGCTCCCGGGACCCTATCCCAGGACCCCAGAAGAACGGGCTGCCGCAGCCAAGAAGTATAATATGCGGGTGGAAGACTACGAGCCGTACCCAGATGATGGCATGGGGTGAGATAGGGTCTGCTCGCACCTGGGTAGTGATGGGAGAAGTTCGGCTGGGTTGGGTAGCTCAACTCTGACCCTTTTCCCCGAACCTTTTCGTGACCCCTCAGAGTCAGCGGTGTGGGCGCTTTTCTCCGTGGAGGGAGGTGGGAGGGGATGGGTGAGCAGCTGCAGCCGAGAGGACTTCAATTTTCTCCTTGGCTCAGGCTGTTTCCTCAAATGAAGAAGCTGAGGTTTTAATGGCTCCCTTGAGGACCCCTGAATAGCAGGAACCTTCTTTGGCTCCATCCAGAGCGCAAGGTTTCATTTAGATTGAGCATCTGCTGGGCTCAGGTGCTGTCATCCAGGCACGTGACCAGGCTGGAGCTGGATTCCTGTCATGAGAACCGTATTTGTAGATGGAGTACTCTATATCATGTATATCTCTTTTTTAAGAAATATTTTGCTGTTAGCACTGTGGAAGTCGTAGCAACTTTAAAGCAGATTAAATAGCCAACTCCCTTAACTCCAGTTGATGGTTTTGCCCCCACACCCCCGTAACATCCCTGTGGTTAATTGTCTGAGTTGATTACCATCACCCTCATTTTCTGTCCTAGCATCACTCTTTGAGCCGTGGTTTCAGCAGCTCCTATTCGTCTTGTTGTTTTCCAATCACTTTCTGTGACACATGTCTAGTTGTCATCATTTTCTATGTCTTTTATTGTGTTGTGGACAAGAGCAGCCTCGGTAGCAGTCTGTATAAGTTGAACCTGGTTTTGTTGGGGAAAAATCCAGCTTATCATGAAGATCCATGAGGCGTTTGAGACTTGGAGTTGTATGTCAACTCTGTGGTTGAGAAACACAGTTGCTGTGAAAAGTGCTTTTCTAATCTGTACCCTTTTGTTTTTATTCCAATTAACTGGGCGATCTTAGGTTCAGACTCTAAACTTCAGTTTCTTTTTCTGTCTAATGGAGGAAACAGTGATTGTTAAATTCCCTTCCAGCACTAACATTATAACATTGCATGATTTTTCTTCTTTCTGTTGAAAGAAGATAAGAAAAGCTTACATATGTTAAAATGTTTCAGAGTTTGACATAAATTTTTAATGAAAATTTGTGGACTTCCTCGGTTATTCTGTGCTTAGTGAGTAAAAATTGAGATTTTTTTCACTTATCAAATAACATTTTATTTTATTAATGATAAATTTGGTATTGGAAGGCATTCAGGAAAATGGATCTCTTTTATACCGTTTGTAGGAATGTAAACTGGCACAGTCTTTGCGGGGGGCGCGGAATTTGGGATATTTACCAGTGGCTCTTTAACTCAGCATTTCTCAATATGTACACCTCAGGGAAAAAAATTGAGATCTTGATTTGAAGGTCAGTTCCTCTGTCCTTAGGGGAGGCAGTTATCTCTGTCACTTGGTTTTTCATCTCTGAGATAAGGAGACTGAATTGTCTGAGTGAGGCTGCTCAGAGCCCTGTCCAGAAGTTCTTGCTGTCTCTCAGGTATGGTGACTATCCAAAGCTCCCTGACCGCTCACAGCAGGAGAGGGATCCATGGTATGACTGGGACCACCCAGACCTGCGATTGAACTGGGGTGAACCGGTGAGAGAACCATATCCCATTTCACCTTCCTTCCTTTTCCCTATGTCTTCTGTAGCTCAAATGGCACTTTTCTGCCCAAGCAACACTAAAGTTTTTCTGCCCAAGGAAGCGAGGTCCAGCAGTCTGAGATCTGATGTTCCCTGTGTGGTGTGTGGAATGGGATGTCTGGGAGTAATCAAAGCTCTGTATTGTAAGAGTCAAAGCTCTGTATTGTAAGAGTTGTGAACTTCTATGATTGAGCTGTCTCTGGTCAGCGGAATTTAGACATAAGCCAGCATCCAGTCCTGTGGGCCACAGTATCTCAGATGTGGCTCTCAGAATATTGCCCAGGGCAGTAGAATGCCTTTCAAGCCTTCTCTGAGGCTCTAAACACTCTGGATTGCATGCCTTTTGCAGGAAGAGCAGTATGTGACAGTGATCTGCCTTTTTGTCTCAGATGCACTGGGACCTAGACATGTATATCAGGAACCGTGTGGACACGTCCCCCACTCCTGTTTCTTGGAATCTCATGTGTAAGCACCTCTTCGGCTTCGTGGCCTTCATGCTGTTCATGTTTTGGGTGGGGGAGACTTACCCCACCTACCAGCCTGTGGTGAGTATCTGAGAAGTGCTCCCTCAGCCACACTTACTTAGCCTTGTTTCCTGAGGGAATGAAGTCTCTGGAGTAGGAATCCAGCCAATACCAAGATTGACTTCCTGGTAAGGCCTATAGAGGGTCTTACCCACTGGCCTGGTACAAGTACCAGAGCATTGCTCCTCCCTGCATCTTGGATCAGTCTGAGTGAGAAGAAACTAGGACTAGGTGAGAAATGAGAATGGAGAAGCCAGCTAGTCTTTAGAGTTGCCATTTTGGGAACTGTACTTAACAATAATATTTCAGCAAGTGATCTTTTAAGGTAGAGTCAAGGAATCTCGAGTTGAAAACTTATCCTTTGTTGGTGTGAAGGGCACTTCCTATAGGGTACTGGAAGCAATTAAATGTTTACTGCAAGCATGGGCAGTTAGATTTTAGAGAATGTAAAGGACATAGAAAATATACTGTCTGTAGAGAACAGACTTGTGGTTGCTAAGGGGGGTAGGGGAGGTATGGATTGGGAGTTTGGGATTAGCAGATGCAAACTAGTATAAATAGAATGGATAAACAACAAGGTCCTACTGTACAGCACAGGGAACTATATTCAGTATCCTGTGATGAACCATAATTGAAAAGAATATGAAAAAGAATGTATATATATGTATAACTGAATCACTTTGCTGTACAGCAGAAATTAACAAACAATGTAAATCAACTATACGTAAATAAATTTTAAAAAAGAAAGAAAATATACTGTCTAGCTTTAAGGACATTTAATTTGGATAAGAAGAAGATTTAGATACATGACACGAGCAACATTGGAACATACAGGAATTTGGCACAGTTTCTGTGTTTATATGTGTGTAGTGAATGTGTATGCTGGGGGTATCAGGTGCTGTTAAGGAGAAGGATTATGCTAGATGCTAAAATACATATATTTTAGATGGTGGGGAGAAGTTGAAGAGAATATTTGGGGCAAGAGAAAATAGAATAAAGGAAGAGGACAGTGAGTTAGCTGGAGTGGAATAGGCTTATAAATAGTAGATAACCAGCTGCATTGGTTACCTGGAGAGCTACTAAAAGTTCAGATTCCTGAGCTCTACTGCCTGGAGAGCCTAATTCAGTAATTCCAGAATGGGGTTCTAGAATCAATATTTAACAAGGTCCCAGGTAATTCTGATGTCCTGGGAAATCAGTTGTCGAAGCTGTGTTAAAAAAAATATGGTGAAGTGAGTTTGATCAGTTAGTAGGTTGCATGGCTAAGGGATCTGGACTTGATGGTATAGTAATGCACTAATTCAGTAAATATTTATGAAGCCCCTATCATGCACCAGGTACAGAAGGTGCTAAGGGTTGGGGGTACAGGGATGACTTGGTCTGCCTCTAGGCAGCAGGGAGCCATGTTGGGTTTCTGAACAGAAGAATGCCATAATGAAGCCTAGGTTTTTAGGAAGATTAATTAGGGAGTAGTCTACAGGATAGATTGTGAGGAAAGAAACTGAAAGCAGGAGGCTGCCGTGTTTGCAGTTGGCTGCACAGTGCTACCTGTGCTGAGATAATCAATGTCCTAACGGTAGTGTGTGTGTCTGTGTGCACTGACACAAGCCTTCCTACCGAGCCCCCAGGGGCCCCAGGCTGGAGAGTGCACATAGGGCTGGTGTGAGCGCTAACTTCACTTGAGGAGAGCAAGAAACAGTGTGGCTCTTCCATTTTTCAGTTCTGTAAGCACATCACCCTTTTCTCCTCCCCTTGAGCTGTGTTCTGTGACAGCTGTTTGTTGGTAAAGCCAGCAGCCCCTAAAGCACGTCCGAGCCGTGTCTCCTCTGTGCTTTCTCCCACTGTTGCTCCTGCACGCCTCATTTGCTAGGCCACTTTAGTGGTGGAACCATTAGAGGCTGAGTGACTTAAAGGAGATTGAGTCTGTCTCGACCCCGAGAGAGAGTGGGATGGATGGGTGCGTCGTCTCATTTAGAAAGCTCTCCCTCACACTCTCCCTTTCTCCCTCTCTCTTTCTCCTTTCTCCCTCTCCCTCCCTCCCTCTCTCTCTCACTCTCACTCACACACACACAAACAGTGTAGGCACCACTTCTCTTACAATCTAGGCTTTCTCTCTGCCTTGGGCTGAGCGGGGAAGAGGAGTGCTGTCCCTGCTGTTCTAGCCCAGCTGGGCCTGACCAAAGGCTACCGTGTACCCATTTACTGTGTGTGATTCTTCACTCAGAGTGGGGTGTAGCCAGGTATTGGCTACATAGATATATGTTGTTCTTGCTGACCTGTGTTTTTTTCTTAGGGACCAAAGCAGTATCCTTACAATAATCTATACCTGGAACGAGGTGGCGATCCCAACAAAGAACCTGAGCCGGTGGTTCACTATGAGATCTGAGGAGGCTTCATGGGCTTTGTGCCCCCTAACTGACTCCCTCAATCCTAGAGATTTTACCTTAATGAAATCGCTAATAAAACTTAGTACTGTGGTATCTGTGCCTCATTTCCCCAGGAATAGCCATTGCTTAAGCCCAAGAAGATATTGATTTGCTAATTTCACTGGGAAAAGTAGTTGAGGGTTCCAGTTGTACAGCAGGTGGTAAGGGTAGCTCCTTTCCCCATCTACAGGGTTGCGGAAGAAGGAAGATATGTTCCTGACTTCACAAGTTGGAACAAGATTTATTTCCCATAAAAAACCTTTTTAATAATAAGTGGTTAGCTAAAAAACAATAACATGTTTCAAGTATATTATAGGATAAATAGGTGTTTTGGGACTGGCCTAGCGCTGTGATTGCCTCTAATCTTATATCTCTTATAAGAATATGTATTTGGGACTTCCTTGGTGGCACAGTGGTTAAGAATCCGCCTGCCAATGCACGCACGGGACACGGGTTTGAGCCCTGGTCTGGGAAGATCCCACATACCACGGAGCAACTAAGCCTGTGCGCCACAACTACTGAGCCTGCACTCTAGAGCCCGTGAACCACAACTACTGAGACCGTGTGTCACAACTACGGAAGCCCATGCACCTAGAGTCCATGCTTTGCAACAAGAGAAGTCACCGTGATGAGAAGCCCGCACAACACAACGAAGAGTAGCCCCTGCTCGCTGCAACTAGAGAAAGCCCGCATGCAGCAACGAAGACCCAGCGCAGCCAAAAATAATTAATTTTTTTAAAAGTATGTATTTATTAAAAACACAACATTGTAAATCAGCTATACTTCAATTAAAAAAAGAAAGAATATGTATTTATTCCAGAGCAACTTCTGAATCCTAGACTCTTATAAATTGATAAATTGACATTACTTATGTATTAATTAGAGGATAGTCATTGACTTATTACTGAACCTATACATAGTTTTCACTACCTTAATGATTCATCCAAGCTCCTATAATAGCCTTAGAAAGAGAAAAACCATGTTTCTGAGGGTCTATTTCTTTTTTTTAATGAAGTTTTTTTTTTAATTAATTAATTTATTTTTGGCTGTGTTGGGTCTTTGTTGCTGTGCACGGGCTTTCTCTAGTTCTGGTGAGTGGGGACTACTCTTTGTTGTGGTGCGTGGGCTTCTCATTGTGGTGGCTTCTGTTGCTGAGCACGGGCTCTAGGCATGCAGGCTTCAGTAGTGTGGCACATGGGCTCAGTAGTTGTGGCTCGCGGGCTCTAGAGTGCAGGCTCAGTAGTTGTGGCACACAGGCTTAGTTGCTCTGCAGTATGTGAGATCTTCCTGGACCAGGGCTGAAACCCGTGTTCCTTGCATTGGCAGGCTAATTCTTAACCACTGGGCTACCAGGGAGGCCCTGAGGGTCTATTTCAATGCATCTGTTTAAAAGAGAACCAATTTATGTTCTTCCCTTTAGGGACATTTTCTTTTTTTTTTTTTTGTGGTACGTGGGCCTCTCACTGCTGTGGCCTCTCCCGCTGTGGAGCACAGGCTCCGGACGCGCAGGCCCAGCGGCCATGGCTTACGGGCCCAGCCGCTCCGCGGCACGTGGGATCCCCCTGGACCGGGGCATGAACCCGCGTCCCCTGCATCGGCAGGCGGACTCCCAACCACTGTGCCACCAGGGAAGCCCCTCCAACTGCTTTTTATATGTTTTCATTCTCTGTCCTTTAGAGCAGTTGATAATTATTTAACAAACATCTGTCTGCCTAATATATATCAGACACTGATAGGTCCTGGGGATATAAAGTTGAACAAGAAAATAATTGCCTTCAAGAAGTTACCTAGAAGAGAAGACTGGCATTTGTAAAATGAGGTGAAAAGAATATCAAAGTGTGTGAGTTGAGAGATGGGTGCACTTTTTTTACTTTACTTTTTGTTTTGTTTTGTTTTGAATCATGTCCTACTTGAAACTGTGACCTTATGCTTTTGGTTCAGATTTCTTTCAGAGCACTCCAGTGACACCTCGGCCTCATTCCCTACTTTGAGGTGTTGCCTGAAGTTCAGTTTTCAACCCTGTTTCTCTTCCACTGTTGTGCTAAGAAGTTCAAGAAATACTTAGTACATAGAGTGGGCAGGCACCACCAATGCCCTAAATTCTTTTCTGTCCTGAGTTCAAAACTCCCATGTCCACGTGAAAAGGAAATCTAGAGCTGTGTCACAATGACTTGGGGCCATGTCATAAGTCATAAGATAACCAGCTCACTATCTTTGGGGGTATATCAGGCTGGAATATGGTGGCAGAATTCATGCATTAAATTAAAAATTTAAATCAAATAACTTAGGTCTAAGATCTTCAGCTGCCTACAGAACGTTTTATTTGGAAATGCCATAATTCCCTCAATCAATATAAAAAATATATATGATCACCCCCCCTCCAACTTTTTATCAGTCACAAGAGCCTGTCCAGCTTTCTTTTACAATCATTGCCACTATGTTAATCCAGGCTTTCATCACCTGGTACCTGGATTGTTCTCTTAGTCTAATTTGATTCCCTGCCTCCAGCTCTGTTCTCTCTGCATGGTGATCCATATTGCTAGTCTGATGTAATCTTATTGCATATCTGCCCATAATTTTCAGTAACTCCCAATTACCTGCAGAGTTGAATTGGTATTCCACAATCTAAATCCAGCCCACTCCCCCAGCTGTAGTCCCTTTCATTCATGGTATGGGAAACACCAGGGCGCTATTAGCCGGTTGGGCCCCTTCCTCCTCGCTGGGAGTCCACCTATCTTCTTGAAGCCCCAACGTATGACACCTGTCTCGTCCCTGAAACCTTCCAGGAAGCCCCTGGTACCTTGCCCGCCCCCCC